CACCTTGTAGTTCTTGGTTCATGTATTATTGAAGCCTAATTTGAAGGATTTTGAGCATGACGTTGCTAGCATGTGAATTGAGTACAATTGTTCAGTAATTTCAACATTCTTTGGCATTGCCTTTCCTTGGGATTGGAATGAAAACTGACTTTTTCCAGTCCTGTGGCCACTGCTGAATTTTCTAAATTTGCTGGTATATTGAGTGCAGCATTTTAACAGTATCATCTTTTAGGATTTGAAATAGCTCAGCTGGAATTCTATCACTTCCACTAGTTTTGTTAAGGTACATTTCCCAATATTCTTGGGAAAAAATTATGTTTCACTGACTATTAAGTTTTTGTTAATTGTTAAACTAAGTTTCTAGTTTTGTTAATTAAGGTCTAGTGTTTACTAAGACTCACTTCTGAGATAGTTCCTTGTTGTTATGTTACATTGCTGAAGATTTAATTAAGTTATTAAAAAGGACACTCTAAGTTTGTTTCTGAAGCTTATCTCATTAAGTAGTCTTCAGATAAAGATCAGATGCTCCATGATGCACAACCAGGACATTAACACCAGGGTATAGTCATTTAACAAATGAAGTCAGATGACCGGGGGTATACTGGGCTCTACCTAATGAAAGTTCTTGACTTATAATTCTTACTTATGACCTTAATAATAACTGCTAGCTATATTATTTTCTATGTTGCTTGTTTCAGAAGATTGTTCCTCATGTTACTAAATGTGTGATTGAGCCTGTGATAAAATGCTGATATGCAGTTCCATATGCAATCAATGATTGCAATAGTGTAACTCTAGATAAGGATATCAGTCCTGAACATTCATTAGAAGGACTGATGTTGAAGCTGAAACTCCAATACTTTGGCCACCTGATGTGAAGAACTGACTCATTGGAAAAGACCCTGATTCTGGGAAAGATTGAAGGCAGCAGGAGAAGGGGTCGACAGAGGATGAGATGGTTGAATGGCATCACAGACTCAATGGACATGAGTTTGAGTAAACTCCAGCAGTTGGTGATGGACAGGAAGGCCTGGCGTGCTGCAGTCCATGAGGTTGCAAAGAGTTGGACAAGACTGAGTGACTGAACTGAACTGAACTCTAGATATGTAAGGAAGCAACAAGAGGGGATGTTTTCCTGGTCCAAGAGGCTAGTAAGACAGGTATGGTCCAGAGACTTTTGCCGCTTGCAAGGCCTGGTCTAGTAACAACACATTGAGTGGCCATTTGCCTCTACAAAGATTATATCATGATCACTGCAAGCTGCTGACCTTCAACATCCCCTGAAAGGAGTTCAGGGTGGAGATCAGAAATAAGGCACTCTGTGCCCTGGGAAAAACCCAGAAGAATCAGCCTTCAGATAGTCAGATGTTTTCAGGTAAAGAATTTATGAGCCAAAATTCTTGCATCTTCTCATACCTAGAGAAATACTAATGTCACGAACCAATGTCTGGTCCTGGTTTTCCTGGCTAGCCCCTGAGCAGCTTTTCTATTTCTATTAATCTTTGGGCCATGTACCTTTAACTTTCTTGTTAAGTTTGTTTCTTCTAGAATACAACAAGTCTAAAGTGGTAGTATGGCAAGAATATTCCCTGACAAACATCTAGACAACGCTGAAACAAGTCACCTTATCATTCCATGGACTCTTGTCTCCCTCTGTAAATGTACCCTGACAGAACCAGCAAAGGGAAGCCAGAGCCCCACAATGCCCCTGTACAGCCTGAAGAAGTCAGAGTGGTCATTGCCCCTTTTTCTTTGAGACTGTGTTTCCAAATGCCTGAGAAGGGAAATAGGTAGATAGTTAAACATGAGGAGAGTATCAACAGGGGCCAAAGAATTGGCCCTAAAAATAAAGAGGAGAAGAATGTGGTGACCCAAAGACAAAAGAGCAGATAAAACCCAGCAGGGTTTGGAATGCAGGAACAAAAAAACCAAGCCCTTATTGTCCTTCCCTCCCCCATGTTCTAACTATTAATGGATTTCAGGTCCTCCTGGGCAGTATAAACTGTCTCCCCTCCTACCCCATAAAGAGAAGGTATTTGCCTCATTCTTCCCCTTACCCAGTATACATGCCTCATCCAATCAGCAAATGACCCACAAGATCCCTATCCCACTCCTTGTATCCTGGCTATAAAAGTGGGCCTAGGACCCCTGTTCAACACTGGTTCTCCCTTGAGCTGGCCCACTGTTCTAACAGTGTCTCCCATTCTAATAAACTTTATTTCCCTCTCATTCTGTCTCATGACTGGAAACTCTTTTCCAACCTGCACCCAGACCATAACAGTACAGATCAGCCTGAAGTACATTCTTGAGCTGTTTTGCAGGATCCAAACCCCCCTGGAGAACTCAACCACCAGAGTAAGTGATAAGAATCGATGATGCTGACCTTTGTTGACCCTCTTGACTTCACTCAATTAGATGTCTGGATTTTGTCAACCTAGAGTAACCTTGCCTCATTTTAATGCTAAAATCTCCACCCCAGGGGCGGGGATAGCTGCTGTGCTTTGTACAGCATCTGTCTGAGTCTATTGTCCCACTGCCCAAGCACCTCTAGAACTTCACCTCTATGTCAAAGATCGCACTTGTCCTTTCATAAATATGCAGCCGTCCCTAGCTTGAAAGTGAAAAAGTTAGTCACTCAATCGTGTCCAACTCTTTGGACTCGGGGACTGTAGCCCACCAGGTTCCTCTGTTCATGGAATTCTCCAGGCAAGAATACTGGAGTGGGTTGCCAATTCCCTTCTCCAGGGGATCTTCCCAACCCAGCAGTTGAACCTGGGTCTCCTGAATTGCAGGCAGATTCTTTTTTTTTTTTTTTAATTAATAAATTTTTTATTGAAGGATAATTGTTTTACAGAATTTTGTTGTTTTCTGTCAAATATCAACATGAATCAGTCATAGGCATATCTATATCCCCTCCCTTTTGACCCTCTCTCCCATCTCCCACCTCATCCCACCCCCTCTAGGTTGATACAGAGCCCCTGTTTGAGTTTCCTGAGCTATACAGCAAATTCCCATTGGCTATCTATTTTACATATGGTAATGTAATTTTTCATGTTTTTCAGGCAGATTCCTTACTGTCTGAGCCACCAAGGAAACCCTTTTGGAACTCCCCTGATCGTGCTGTTTGGAGGGACAGTTCTTTAAGAGATATCTCTTCACCTTTTTGCTTGGCTCAGTTGGTAAAGAATCTGCCTGAGATGCAGGAGACCAGGGTTTGATCCCTGGATTGGAAAGATCCCCTGGAGAAGGGAATGGCTACCCACTCCAGTATTATTGTCTAGAGAATTCCATGAACAGAGGAACTATAGTCATCCATGGCACTTCCATGGTGGGCTACAGTCCATAGGGTTGCAAAGAGTGGAACACGACTGAGAGACTAAGACTTTACTTGTCACAAGTAATCAATGCTTCCACTTTGATGGAAAGTACCTGGCATTGTTAGGGGAAGCACACTGACTGAAATCACTCACCCTGGCCAAGCACCATAGTAACCATTTGCATGAGTTGTTTTACGACAGGAGGTCCTGGTAAGGAACATGAAGCTAATAAGTCACCACCAACTGGAAGAGTTCAGGAAAGGTCAAAAGGAGACACCATATGTCTGACCACCTCCCAGAATCCTTCTCACTGGCATCCATCTTGGCAGAAGAAGGCATGTACCACTTGAAGGGCTTTGAGTCAGAAGCCTGGCTAAAGACAATCTGGAAATGAATCCCATCACCATAAAACCCAAGACTGTGAGTAGGGTAGGTTCCCTTACCCTACTGCTCTCCACCTGGGTGCCCCTTCCCAATAAAATCTCTTGCTTTGTCAGTCCATGTGTCTCCTCAGACAATTCATTTCTGAGTGTTAGACAAGAGTCCACTTTTGGGCCCTAGAAGTGGTCCCCCTTCCTGCAACAAATGGTGACTCTGGCAGGGACTCTTCTCTCCTGCAACTGACATCCTGACCATTTGGGGTACTCAGGGAGCAGCTTGCCCGCCGATGGACCAGACCCAGAAGCCACAACAGGGACCCTTTTGTCCCTGTTCTCCTGATGTGGACAACTGACCAGAGTGCCCTGACCAGGGAAGGAACAAGAGACTTTATTATTGACCTCTCTCCCCTTCTCTCTCTCTTTCCTCTCCCTACCCCTTCCTACCCTTCCCCATTTTTCTAGTCCCCCCATCTTGGATGCAGGAAACTGGTTGAAGGGCCTCAACCTGAGCTGAGGATTAGAGACTGATCACCTCCTCTTGGCAGAGAACTTGAATTCTGGTTCTGTTCTGGTCTAGTTTCTAGTAGGGCCAAGTTTCAATCCTCCCTTCTCTGGAGGCCCAGGGTAAAGTCCCGTAACGCCTAGGTATCTGCAGGTGGCAGGAGACGTCTGTAAGGCCACCCTTTTAGCCCTCTTCTCCTGCCTCCTCTCCCCTCTTCTTTCAACCTGGCTTCTTTTCCTCCCTTTGAAATCTTTGAAGACCTGAGACATTTTCATTTATTCTGTTAGTACTTGGATCTGAAGTTCTGTGTCTATAGGAAGTTTTCTGAGAGACTGTAATCTTATATTTAAGGAAGGGTCTGATTAGGACTGCCAGGTCTATGTATGTGTTTTATACTCTGTGTTCTGCTTTGTGATTTGTGATGGCCATTTTGCTTTGTGTGGCCACCATTTGGTTTAGACCTGGTGCCATTTTGTTAGAATTTGATTTTCATTCCCTCTGCCTTGAGACCAGGTTTCTCAGGAACTCTTATCTAGACCATCTCTAACTCCTGAGACAGAGGAAAAATGGGAAGAAGCCTTTAAATTTTTATTTATTCCAACTGTTATTTAAAAACTAGTGCATTTTATATTGTAATATTTAATTCATGACTAAGCTTAGAAAATGAAGCTAGATCTTGTGTTATATCTGAATATATGTATATCTCAGTATGTCTTTGTCTCTGGATAATATTTTTGAGATTAATTTGTTTGTTTTTTTTTTAAAGACCTGATATATATTTTTTTTAATAAAGACCTGATATATTTTAAAGAGAACAGACTTTATTGCCCAGCAATTAAAATAATTTGAAGATGTATTTTTGTCCATAATTTATTGTGAGATGAACGTTAAAATACAATTTTAATTTTTATCACTTGCTTTAATGCACGTCTTCTTGAACAACTCTTCATTTTTCCTTCGAAAATGTTGTGTGCCACACCTCTGGGGAAAAATCAGAAACCAACAGTGAAAATAATTCCATACTCAAAACCTGAAAGTCATACACCTGACACACAAAGGCATCTTTAACAGGAAAGGAAATGGCCTCAGCTTTCGGAGTTTATCAGACACTTTCAAATTGTCAATAGATGCGGCTGCGTGACAAATCGTAATCACTTACTTGAGGTAATGAAGAGTTTTTAAGCACCAATGCTAAGGACTTGAACATTCATCTGTATGTACTCATCTGCTGAAAAGAACAGTTCACCAATTTTAATAAAAAACTGTATTAGATTTGAGTAATTCACATAATATATATTACTGGCATCTCAGTCTTAAAGTTATTTCTTCAAAGATACCCTCAGCTGGGTAAACGGCAAAAAGTAATTTGTCATCACTGTGCCAGTTATTAAACATTTTGGTATTGTGCTTCAGGAACAATATCACAAACACATAAAAAAAAGCACACAACTTAACATTATAACTTCTGGTACCTTGTTACATGCACAGCGGTCCTCCTAGTGTTTTCACAGCCATCCTCTGTGACAGGTTTTTGGAAAACATTTATCACAATGATCTTCATCTTCAACTCACAGGCTCTGCTGCACCTAGAAATTAAATGTATTTCATTGTGAATTCTCATTTGCACTTGTATCTGTTTGGCATCTTATATCTAGTATGATCCAGTTGGCCCTTTTCCCCATACTCACTCAAGAACCATTTAAAAAAAAAAAGNTGACTCCTCCAGAGATTGGAAACTCTTAGGTTTCCAATAACTTTATCAGGTGAGTTAGGAAGGTTATCTCACTAACAGGTACAGAAATCTCAAGGAAGTTTTGAGACTTTAAAAATGGAAGAATTCACCTAAATTTGTTAGGTGAAATCTGTTAGAAGCCTTTAGTGTGAGTTTCCCAGCACTGTTTTACTTTAAAAATTCAGTCTGAGATTTTATAAATGTTTCAGCAATGCAAAAAGTCTATGATCAATTATGGTTATATAAATCATCAGGCCAAAATTACTGTGAGCAGACCTATTTTGCAAAGAAATTAGCCTTAATTTGGTTATATTTGATAAAAATGAAGGTAATGTTAGGGAGAAAAAGATGTTTCAATGAATGTTAAATCCCAGTTTGTTAATGGAGGTCTGCATCTAGTAAGACTCATCCCCTAGATAGTTCTTTGCAGTTGTACGATATTAATGTAAAACATAATTGAATTCTTAAAGAACACTCTAAGTTTGTTTCTGAAGCTTATCTCAGTAATCTATCTTTGGATAATGATCAGATACCTCATGAGCTGCAACCAGGATTGGAAAAAGACAATTTAAGGAACTGCCTCTAACCTCCAACCTGGATGGAAGGATCTTTTTATCAGGTACTCTTAACTAGCTCATACAATGAAACTGAAGGGAAATTGACTCTTAGAATAATTCCCATTCCAAAGGCCTCTACACTGGACTGGTCTATAGAAAGTACAGCTGACCTGATCTCACCTTAAAATGACGCTCAAACAGGAGAAGTGGCACTATACCAGGATGAGAAGACGACGAAATCAGAGGGAGACAGCTTGCCCAAGAAACTGGACCTAATTTACATGATCATTTATAATGTTTTCTTGACTTCTTAGACCTTTGTATATAAATCAAATGCTTTTCTATTGTAGGCCTGATCGTATGCTAGTTTTAGAAATCAGTCCAATTGTTGGGTTTGTGACCAATTACCTGTGTCTAGTTCTGGGTTACCTTGGTGAATTTCTTTACTCCAAGGCTCTAACTAAATTTACTAAATCTATCTATCTATCTATCTATCTATCTATCTGTCTGTCTGTCTATCTATCTATCTATCTATATCTATATCTATATCTATATCTATATATATAGTCATATTCAGGTCACTATTGATATTACTAGATGGGATCCCCTCACCTGACCAATTAATAATGCCTCCTCTGACTCTGGCCATAAATGTGAGTTTTCTTCTATTACTCAATCAGAGCAACAAGTAAAGTTTCAGCAAAGGAAGAAATTGCCAATATGTATATATTGATATATATAACACCAGGCTATGGTAATTTAGGTTTAAAGTCTCCTCTGTGTTGGAAACAATTAAATCATACTAAAGATAATCAATCCAGTAACACTAAAAAACTGGGCTATGTGCCTTATAGACAGTGCCAATGTATCATTTCCCTGGAAGATAAAGATTTGTACAGAGTAGACTAGGTCAGATAACCTGGGATATACTGGGCTACATCTAGTGGAAGTTCTTAGCTTAAGTCTTACTTATGACTTTACTAATACTGCTGGCTATGTTATTTGTATTTCTCTTGTTTTACAAAATTGCTGTTTCTTGTACTGCCAAATGTTTGAATGAAGCCTCTGATAAAATAATATATAGTTCCATATGAGATTGATGATGGTAACAGTGTAAGTCTAGATACGGGAAGAAGAAACAAGAGGGAATATTTTCCTGGACCAAGAGGCTAGTAAGACAGGTGGTCCAGAAAATTTTGGATACTGTTTTATGGGCCTAGTCCAGTAACAGCACATTGAGTGGCCTATTAACAAAATCTTTGCCAAACCTGAGAATGGATATTCTCAGCACCATGGGATAAAATGGTCATGAAACGCCCCCCTCAAAATCATGGTCAAGTTTATGACCAAGAAAGGGCTCTGCCAGCTAAAAATTGACACTTGCCATATACCTCTAAAAAGATTAAATCATGGCCACTGAAGCTGCTGATCTTCAACACCTGTGAAAGGAGTTTAGGGTAGAAATCAGGAATGAGGCATTCTGTGCTCTGGGAAAACCTGACAGAACAGGACTTCAGGCAGTTAGATCTTTTCAGGAGAAGATTTTATGAGTTCCAGTTTTTGCATCTTCTCATACCTAGGGAAACACTGACATCGTTAATGGTGACATCTGCTTTGGCAATTAAGGAAAATTGTACAATTAAAAGTCAAAATAGAGTCACTATGGTTCAAACATCCAAGGAAATAACTAGATGATTCTATGGGTGTAATTTCAGACTGGACCTTGTATTGCTAAACACTTGAGTTTTATGAGTCATGTCAGGCTTGGATGCCACCATTCTCAAAACAATGTCTGTTGGCAACTAGCAACCTTACTTTTTATAAAACTAGGCAACTGGCTACAAGTCTTCCCAAAGTGCCAGGTCCAGACTGGGTTTCAGGCCTATTGTTCTGAAAAGAAACGAGATTTATTTTGTCTATTAAAATTCCAATTGTCACTCCTCCAACTACTTCTAACTGCGTCTGTTATACCAAAATGGCAGGTCAAGGGACTTAGATTTTATTCATACAAGACACAGATACAGGACTTGAAGTTCAGGAATACTTGCAGTTCAGTGTCTATTCTCCAAGCTGAGGCAGTCCTATGTCCCATTTTGACAGAAAGTTATCACATAGTTGCCAGATTCTCTAAATTAAAACTGTGCAGAACTCCATGGGGCTCTAGAGTACAGCTCTGTTCTGTGTTCTCCATTTCTTGTCTGTAGGTTATAGGCTTCATGCAGCCTCCTTGATCTTCCCTGAGTTCCAAAAAGTAGATTCAAACAGTTGCTAATCAGAAAAGGGAGAGGATACAGAAACAGCGAAGGAACAATCAAATGGTGGTACGGCCTTGAGGCAGGGTCCTGGTTCCTACTCAAAAAATATGTGTAACAATATGTTTGAGTTCATCTGCAGAGCTGGGGCCCCCACCCCAGTGGAGGATGGTAACTTCAGGCTGAGCACAAGATGCCTGGAGCACTGCTCTGTGGCCTCACCACTAATCAATCAGAACAAAGTCATACACCCTGCAGCCCTCACCCCAAATGTTGCCTTGTTTCTGGGACCCAGTGATGACCATCGTTTTAGGCTTCCTGTTTGGTCTTGTCTATTTCGTCTCTGACCGGGGTCAGCAGTTTTAAGCTGAACTGCTGTTCTTAAAAGGTTGAATGCCGGTTTCAGGCACAGAATACCTCTACTTAGAACAGGTAGAGAGGGATTTCTGCTCTGCTATGCAGGCCTTGGAGAAGGAAATGGCAACCCACTCCAGTATTCTTGCCTGGAAAATCCCACGGACTGAGGATCCTGGTAGGCTACAGTCCATGGAATCGCAAAGAGTCGGACACGACTGAGCGACTTGACTTTCACTTTCACTATGCAGGCCTACGCCCGTACACAGCAGGAAGAAGTTACAGAAGAAAGAGAACTCTGCCCCAATTCCCAAGAAGTATCTTGAGTAGAAGTCTTTCAGGGGGTAGTTGTTAGGGGAAGCACACTGACTGAAATCACTCACCCTGGCCAGGCACCATAGTAACCATTTGCATGAGTTGTTTTAAGACAGGAAGTCCTGGTAAGGAGCCCAGAACTAGTAAGCCACCACCAACCAGAAGAGTTTGGGAAAGGTCAAAATGAGACACCACATGTCTGGCCACCTCCCAGAATCCTTCTCACTGGCATCCATCTTGGCTGAACAAGGTGTGCACCACCAGAAAGGGTGTTGAGTCAGAATGATTGGCTAAAGACAACCCGGAAACTAATCCCATCATTGTAAAACCCTAAACTTGCAGAGCAGTCCTCCTGGTTTCCCTTACCCTACTGCTCTCCACCTGGGCGCCCCTTCCCAATAAAATCTCTTGCTTTGTCAGCCCATGTGTCTCCTCGGACAATTCATTTCCAAGTGTTAGACAACAGCCCACTTTTGGGCCCTGGAAGGGATTCCCCCTTCCTGCAATAGCATGTCTGTTGGCTATATCTGTTGACTATGAACCCCAAGTGACAGACCCATTGAGTACAGTAACAATCTGACTTTACAAAACTTTAACTGGACTTCTCTCCTTCCTCAGGATTCCTGATCTTTCCTGGACCCTTGTGCTTAAACAAGCCCTGGAAGGTGGAACAATCTCCTTAATGGCATTACCAAGATTGGTGACTGGAAGGAAAACTGTCCAATTATGCCCCCTGCTCAAGGTGCTATCTGCTGATCCCATTCGCCTACACCCTGTTCCTTCTGACCTTGTTTACTCCAACAGAATACCCCAATACAAGTCTTTCTGAAAAAATTTCCTCCTAACCTAGTCTGGATTTGTTTTTGAAAGCTTGTAGTTTAAATGAGGAAATAGGAATGAAAGAGATTTTGTTATAGTGATGTCATTAGTTTATTTAAAGTCTTTCTGAGATATATGACAATAATTATCCATCAGAAAATGTTGATTTCTTTTCTTTTTTGGCCATGCCAAGCAGCTTGCAGGATCTTAGTCCCCCCACCAGGGATTGAACCTGCACCCTTGGCAGTGAAACCATGGAGTTCTAAACACTGGACCACCAGACAGTTCCCAAATGTTGATTTCTTTGAGAGTGTGAGATAAATTTTAAAAAAATTATTTTATTTTTCTATATTTGGCTACACTGGGTCTTTGTTGCAGTGCACAGGCTTCTCTTGTTGTGGAGAACCAGCTCGAGAGTGCTTCCACTCAGTAGTTGTCACACTCTCACTCTCTAGTTGCCGCACACAGGCTTAGTTGCTTCCTGGCATGTGAGATCTTAGTTTCCTGACCAGGGATTGAACCAGAGTCCCCTGCATTGCAAGCTGGATTCTTAGCCACTGAGCCACCAAGAAAGTTCCCCAAATGTTGAATCTTGAATGTAATTTTGGTTGTCAGCTTCTTTATATCCTCCTTCAATTTTATTGAAAGCAAAG